AACAAGCGACCACCCAGCCCGGAGGCCTTAGTCATGGTGGATTTTTTTCTTCGAACCTTTCGACTTGCCACTGAGGTCAAATGGGAACACATCGAGCAAAAGGATATGATAATAATTGATCATTTTTTATTAGTCCCATAATATTCATAAGTATATCAAGCAAGATAAAGAATCAACCATATTTTTCGGCCTCCCTGTCCTGGTTATACATGGTGACCTGCGCTCAAAGTTATCGAACTGTCGTACATTTCCTTTCTGCAACCAAGCAGTCCGTGTTGTATCAAGATATTCGGTCCATATGCTCCTGTGTTTTTCTCAACAAGCACTCAACAAATCTCATTAGTCATATTTTATCCACATCAGCTAATTTGCAATCCTCCACGCAAGAAAAATAATAAATCGAATGCCAATATTACCATTTATTCGAATTTTAGACATGCTCGAGCAATGACAGATATTACCAATGGGAAATTGATAGATGCACCAAACACATGCCAAATCAAATCAAATAATTCCACGAACGAATCAAATATTTCTCCTCGGCCAAATCACATAATGCTCCACAAATTAATCAAATAGTCTCCACGGATAAATCGAATAATCTTCTCGAATAAATCAAATAATCATCCACAAATAAATTAAATAATCACTCGATCAAATTAAATAGCCTCCACGAATAAATCAAATAATATCCACGAATATACAACATATTCTCCACGAATATATCAAATATTCTCTACAAATAAATAAAATAATATATCCACGAGCAAATTAAATATTAACATGATCCAATCCAATAATCTCTCGACCCAATCGAATAATATTCACGAATAAATCACATAATCCTCTGCAAATAATCCAAACCATGGATAAGTCACATAAATTTTGCACGAATAAATCAGATATATCCACGAACAAATCATATATCTCCATGAACGAATCAAATAAATCCTCGAATAAACCATATAACCCAACCCGAGCAAATAAAGTACCTTCACGAATAAATCAAATATTACCATGAATGGGTCATATATCTCCATGAGCGAATCAAAAAAATCCTCGAATAAACCATATAATCAACACAAGAAAAATTAAATAATCCTCCATGCAAAAATCAAATATTCTCCTCGAATAAGCCATATAATCCACGAGTAAACCATATAATCCAACACGAGCAAATCAAATAATCATCCATGAATAAACCAAATATTTTCAATATTCACCAATTTCAAATCATCCGGTCTCAAAATTT